TGTTTTGTGGCAGTTAATGAGCTAGGAAACATATCAGAGTCTTTCCCAATGAAGCATCCCTTATTTTAATAAATGCTTTTTGCTTCCATCCATTATTAGACTTTGGTTGTGTGTGTGAGAGAGAGGGCGTTGTGGAGTTCTTCTAATAACATGTGTGCAAATCCGACATGAGCAAAACTAAAAGTCCATGCAGGCCATTCCTACATTATTTAAGGTTGATGTTACCATGTTTGTGTGATAGCCATTTATCAGTATCACTGTTTTAAACTTTTGTGTAATCAGGAATGAACTGTGCTTTGGCCAGAACCATTTACCTTATATGCATGTGATATCAACAGCTGTGTCACTCATATACGTCTCATCATGTACATCCTTGTTGTTGCTCCTTGTTTCCATCTCTAAGTCTTAAAATATTAGTTTTTTATTCTAACCTCTCAATGAGCACTGAAGCTGTGATTTATGAAGTTAAATTCCATATAATATTAGAATTCCTCCTTACCAAATCAGAAATGAAAGCAGATTTGTTTGGCTTCTTTGATAAAACCTCGTTTGGGGAGATGGGTGTTTTTAGCTTCGGTGATATATCCTACGATACAACTGATTTGTGTGAAGGGAGCATACAAGAGCAGAATCTTGAAATAAAAAAATAAATTTTTATCTCTATATCTACACTGAATAAATCAGATTACCTTGACTGGAAGGATTGAAGTGACATGTTTGCTTCAGACTGTACGACTCTGGCTCTGGTTCTGCTCCAGCTAGCATGCTGCTGTGTTCCTGCTGCAACTGCACTTACAATGTATGATGATGATGATGCCAGAACACTTTATCTGTCATATGTTGGTGTCGTTTCACCTTTTTTGTGCCTCAGGTCTCAGTCACACACGCCTAGAGATTGATTAGGAATTCCTGGTTAGTAAGCCCTTGGCAACTTCTTGTCGCTAGAGTGGTGAGTGGCTTCTTGGGGGTTGTTACTGGGTCAGAAAAGTAGCCTGCACAAAAAACCTTCTTGTGATTGCTTAAGTTGTTTGTAGGTTGTTGTGGTTCCCCATAGTTTGTATGGTTGACGCTGATTTCTCTGCGAACATTCACTAGATGCAAACCACAAATGGTGATTGTTCACCTTCAAAGTAAAAGCTGTGTGTTGACATCAGCATACTGACATGCATACAAACACATTTTCTCATTTGCCCGATAAGGCAAAAAAGAGATAAAGAAAAAAAAGACATTATTTATAGCTGCACTAAGTATTTTATATTAATGACAGATTAAATGACTTTGTATAATGAGAAAAATGTTCCTCGTACTAATAAATCCATGGAACATTATCACTATGCTCTGCTGCTCCCTTCACAAGAAATCCATGGATTCCTAAAAAATCAGAAAAGTTAAATGATTTCTGTAAAGTTCGAGCTCTTAAAGAAACCAATTGCTTCCTCAAAACTATCCATCAAAAGGTAAATATACTAAAGACAAGGCAAATGAGACTGAGCTGCACTTTTCTTAGTGGATAATTTTGAGTAGCTCTGTGTTGGTTGGTTGCATCTTGTTATTGGAGGAAAAGAACATAAATATGATGACTTCACTTCACTATATTTAAACTGTGAACAAGCAGAAGAGATTAAAATAAATTGATTCAAATAAAATTTAAATTTCATCCATGTTATTGGGTCTTTTGTACCCTTATTTTTATTTGTATATAATACCTCATAAAAGTATCCAATGGATTATACAACTATCGATAAGAGACAATGTTATTGGTTTACTTTTAAATTGAAGTTAGCCACTTTATTATCAAGTGGATCAAAAGTACTTTGCCTTCCATCCATTTTGATTAAGTGCTTTGGTTGCATTACTAAAATGGCTGAATGCGAAAATATGTGTTTTCATTTGGGATCGAGCTAAAATTTGCCAAAGAATAAAGCAAAGTAGAGGAAAAAGAAAAGAACATAACAGTCATGAGGTCAAGGTACAAGCTAGAATAGCTAGAATGGGAATTTATTAATCAAGTTTAAGATTTTTTGGACAAATGTTGGGTGACAGAAACAAGCAAAAACTCAAACTGTATACAAGCCAACCCTTAGAAATAACACATAAAGGAAAGCTCCATATAAGAAAGCCCAGTAAATTTGAAAGAAAACACTGACTGGAGTTTACTAATATGCATATCAACAATTCACAGTGTTTGTTGGTAATTACACTTGGACAGCTGTAACAAAATTACATGCATTTTTTTGGTAACTCATCTCTGTTCACAAAAAAAATAGACAGTTAAAGGAGGACATCTCCTCACTGTGAATGGAGGAAGCATAGTCATCCGTACAGGGTTCATTTGCTGTCTCTTGCTCACAGTGGCTTGAATTTGTGCAGAGCGCAGTGAAATCATAAAATTATCAAAGCATACTGGAGCAAAACATACTGCCTGGGGGTCTGCAGGATCTGTCTCAGTTGCAGGTCATTGCTACAACATCCAGCCATCCATCCATTTTCGACCACTTATCTTTGTATGGTTCATTGCGGCAGCAGTCTAAGCAGAGCTGCTCAGGCCTCCCTCTCCCCAGTCACTACCTCCAGCTCTATTGGGTGGGTGTGAGGGTATCGAGGCCAGCTGCCAGCTGAGAGATGTAATCTGTTGTCCTGGGCCTGCCCTGGGGTCTTCTCTCAGTTGGACACGACCATAACAGCTGAACTGGTTTTACTCAAAGCAGAGGAGCAACAGCTCTACTCCAACTCAAAATGACCCTATCCCTAAGGGGTATCCCAGAATCCCATGGTACCAGCTGATTTTTGCTGCATGGGTCTTATTTGTTCTTTAAGCCATATCCCACAGATCATGGCCATAGGTGAAGATAGCAGTGTAGATGAACCAGTAAATCGACAACTTCACCTTCAGGCTCAGGTCTCTAGTCCCCACAATAGTGTAGGGTCTGCTTCAATGCCCACACAGGACCAATCTACTTGTCAATCTCTAGCGCAGTTCTACCCCCACCTGAAAACAAGCCCTCGAGATACTCCTACATGTGAGAAATCAAGTCATCCCCGACCTGAAGCACACAAACCATACTATTCCAGGTAAAAAACATGGCTTTTCTAACATTATAATAAATAAGTATTTGGCATTTCTAAAGTGGCCTCCCACTAGTCCAAATCTTAACATTTATGGAGGCGACTGAACACACAGTTTGGACAAAGTTAACCTTAACTGATTATTTGGGGTATAAACTGCTTGCTGGGAAATCTGCTTTTCAAAATATTGAATAGTTATTGTATAACTGAAAATGCTGTTACACTGAGAATCAAACAAATGTGTGGTTTTCTTTCATTAAATAGTGAATGATGGGCTCCAGCTGCTCTTCTGAGTTTTGGCTTTATTTCAAGGTCATTGTTGTCAAGCACATAACTTCCCGCATTCACCAGGGCTCTATATGCCATCAAGGCAGGTAATGGAAATATATTTTGAAAAGTCTCTTTCAGTTACATCAGAGCTCTGTCCCATTACTGTGGCTTACAGGATTCCTTACTTAGTAGCCAAGGTAACTAGCCTGCTAACTGTAAAGCTTAACAATGTTTCAAAGGCTTTTCAATGTTTCAGTGTCCCTAAAAATAGGCTGAGAATTGGACCACAGGAGACACTCACATAGTTTATTTGGACTAAAAGAAAATTGAAAAAAAAATGCTTTGGCAATTCATAGAGTGCAGTGCATTCAAATATTTGCATTTATGAGTTAATACTCCACAGCATATGATTCTGTGGCCTTTTAAAGTGAATCATTCTATTACCGGTGAGTATCTCAAAAAGCTCCACTTAACCGATGCAAATAAAATTAATTTGCTAACATTTTATTTAATGACCCGGTTCACAGGGGGGAGAAAAATACAGGCTGAATAATTTCAAATCACATACGTCTGTGAGATACAGTTGTAAAGTTTGCTCTGTGTTTATTTAACCTAACATCTTGTTTTCATGTGGAGCCCAAGGATGCAGTTTTTGAATCCAGTTACACAAAACAGTGAGAGGTGTCCTGGGACATGGAGTCACCCTGGGGAGGAAAAAAAATAAGATGAAGAATCTCATATATAAAGGCAAAGGTGTTTGTACACAAAACCTTGTGAAGTGAATTTCTCCCTCGGCATTGTGTTCAGTGTGCTTTAGTAAAAGAAAATTAGACCTCATGTCACATTTCACCTGTCTGTGCCAAGGAAATGTAGAGATAAATAAGGCTGAGACACAAATATACAAAGAAAAGCTCTCTGGATCTGGGATTTTAAAGCTTGGTTTATTAAAATGAATTATTAACCTAATAATCTTTATGTTTAAAACTTCAGTTCCTCAGGATTCAAGTTGAAGCAGTTCTGTTTGCATAGCATGCTGTATTGGTTCCGATCACAAAAGGCTTTACAATACCTGTGCTCTGAAAACATTATTCAGCCTCGTTGAGGACTCTCAGAGTAACACTCTGTTCTATCCCGTGTGGAGGCTTTCAGTGTTCACACTCACATCATGAGCAGCTTTGAGGATGGCCATGTATCAAGCTATCTGGGGTACAGTCTCTGTGCTCAAGGTGCCCACTGATGTGGAGCAGCAGAGTGAATGTCAGGCAGCACTGGTCACTGTGCATGTTTGGGGGTGGCAGTGAAGAAGTGCTCTGTTTGTGTGAGTGGCTTAACTGAAGGCGGGCGAGACGCTGTCACAACCGAGGAACCTGCATGTGTGTGGCGATGGTGGCAGTAATGTGTGTAGTGGGAGTGAGAATTCAGGTTTAGACAGTGGGCAAGAATCCAGTGCATGACGGCATCATTGTGTGGACTATACAGTTCAGTGAAGGGTAGATTTGATATTTTCTCCCTCTCAGTAGGGCCTTCCTTTAAGCCAGAGCTTTGCCTAGGGAATGCTCACAAAGGAGTCTTCTGCTGCAGCTGGCAGAATCCTGCTACGTGATCTAAAACCAATTTCGCTATTTGAATAAGCTAACACTTATTTCCTTATCTTCCTCTTGCAGTCCAAAAAAATCCAGGCTCAACTGAAAGAACTGCGGTACGGGAAAAAGGATTTAATTTTTAAGGTAAGCTCAAACTGAAGGTGGGTGGCTTTATAGTAGCTCCAGACCAGGGGTAAACAGGTGCTTCATACCGCCTTCAAAGGATGATCCCATCACAGAAGGGGCTCTAATTAATTCAGGCTGCAATTATAAACTTCCATCCAGCAAAAGCAGCACACGGCAAAGTCAATCCGGCAGCTCTTAGTGAACATACCAAGTTTCGTCCTCTGTTTCCACCTCTCCAAGATTCACCCCATCCTCTTTAATCTTCTGTGGTATGTGGATAAATGGTTTGGACAGCAGTGGATGAAGTTGATACAGAATTATGCATTAGATCATATAAGGGAACCTTCAAGACAAAATTACAGATGACACCATGTATTTCTACATTTCAGGGGTAACACCCATTTCAGGGAATCAGATATGTGCCTCTTCCTCACGTACTTCCTCTGCAAGCACAATAAAAACAGTGGCAGTGTTGCGTATTATTGCCCACCCGTACATACTCCATTGCCCTGTGAATTGCGAGGACTAAACGTTCTGGGATCTGAGCGCTCACATAATATTTATTGGCATTTACTGGTACAAGGACTGACCTTTCAGGCCTTGTTTGCGGTGTTAAAATGTCAGTTGACATTTTTGCCACAATGCCCTGTAATGCCATTTCTTATGTGTATGTTTTGATGCTTTAAACGCATCACTGCTAAAGCTATGTTAGACATAAATGAATAAAAAAAGGACTCTGTCCTCGAGGATCGAATTTTATGCTTCTAGGCCTACACTTGAATATATTGTCCCTGGATGTCCTGTTCTTTGTTCTATTTCTAGTCTCTGAATGATGGATGCATCGACTTGTTTGCTTGGTGTCACTGCTCGTAAATCGTTGTCTCTAAATTGCATCAGTCAGTCATCCAAAACAAAAAAAAACTAAAACGTTATTGCTCAATGTCACCAAACATTTCAAGTGGACCTTTAAAACATTACGGTCTGTAGTGATTTGCAGCATTAGACAGATAAGGCTAATTTGATCATTCTCTTTATCTTGTAAAAACAGTCATCTTTCGAAGATGACAGAAATGGCTGCTTTTTTTCTCTGGTGGAAAGGTCAGGGAGAAATGCATCACGTCCAATCCCTCTGGCTATTCCTGAAAAACTCATCTGTATTCCCCATGTGCTGTGATCAAAAGCCCAGCAGGGGCCAAAGGAGGGGGAAGTGGAGGAGAGTCACTCAAGATACAGAAATGTCATCAGCATCACAGGGGGGATGTCAGTCAAGGCACCTTGACCAGGAGGCAATTGAATTGGTTATGACAGCTGTTGTACCCTATCAAAGTGCCTTTTGCAACACAATGTCTTGGTTTAAAAAAAAAGAAACAAAGAAAACAAATTTGCAAGATTAGATACAGCAGAATCCCCAAAACTTACATTTATGAAAGCTTGAGAATACCTTTTTTTGTTAGTTAGTTAGTTAGTTAGTTAGTTTCTTGTTTTTCATAGTAAAATACAAGAAAATGCAAATTGATTAAATGATACAGCATGTTTCCTAGAGTAACCTAGAGTACCAGGAAAAAAAGCCAGCATTTTTAGTGCAACTCTTGTCTCAGGTATAAGCTGTACAGTTTCCCTCGCTTTTCATAAACATGTTACTAAAAAAAGTATTAAAAGAAAAGAGAGCGACTTCCCTGCATTTCCCTACGAGACAGTATTTGTGGCAGAGGAGCCATATTCAAGCTTTCACAGTGTACTCTTCATTGCGACACTAAAATTACCCCCAGAGCTGTTTCTTTTTAAGCTTAGAAAAAACAGATGTCGTCACACGCCTCATCTAGCCCAGTGGACAGCACCCCACTGACCCCACACCTCTATAATGGACTCAGCACAGAAATATGAAGCCCTAGACTTGGGGGCACTAACCCTGAAAGTCAGCATTTCTGGGTCAGTGCCGTTGCGCCAGCAGAGCTCAAAGGACTATCCACTGATGATGCTCTTTGTAATGGATGTAATGGCCTTTACTATAAAGCTGTGCACATAGGATTTAGAGCTTTTAGACAACAAACTAATATTGAGCCTCATTTAAAAAAATGTACTTGTGAGCAAAATGTGTGATTCCAGTGTGTATTAATGAATATCTTAATTTGCCACAAAGAGATTTTATGAGGCTTTTACAAAGCTTTGTGACCATGAACTGTGCCTGATTACCTTAAGACTCCATCTGACTAAAACTCCCACTACATGAACTTCTAAAGGTGAGATCTGACTCTCTGGCTTCAGTGAAAACCCATAGGACTGATTGTTGCTCTGTCCTTGAGAGTCACTATACGACTCATCTGTCAGAAAGGATTTAAACACAGTTCCTACTGCCCCATTGAGTGGTAGAACTGACAGACATGTTCATCATTAAAATAACCACTTTGCTGGTAGAAACTGACATGAAAATGAGATGAAATCAGTGAACATGCCAAGCCTCCCAGCTTTTTCAGGACACTCATCGAGGCACCACACACCACAAGTTGATAAAGCTTACCAAAAGCTATCAATCAGTCACATCACCACTCACTAAAATTTGATACACTTGAGAGGGATTGTAGTTGCTGTTTGTTGGGTTACCTGGCCTTGGATATTTTAGAATATAAGCCTTTGTAGTTTATCATTTCCGGAGGCAAGTAAAGACATCCGATAAAAGTTTATGGCTTAAAGTCCATCACCAAGGCCGGTTTTACACAGGCTGCATGCAAATGATCCCAGCACGGCTTTCTTTTTTTTCTTGTGGATGAGTTTATCAATAATAGAAGACTTCTCAGAAGAAGCTCTGTTGATCGTCATAAGGAGTTACATTGGTTCATTTACTAAAACCAGCCCTTCTGTGTGTGCTGTTCAGTCCTAGGATTAACGTCTAAGAAAAACTTCCTTTTTAAAGTTTGATGGTTTTAAAGGGTCTGTTTTTATAAATGACAACATTAAAATATTCTTCTATCCAAGGAGCAGATCTAATCCTTTTCAGTGCTGCTGTGAATTAACTCATGCTTATATGGTTTCATATGACTTCTAGGGTGTGCATAAAATGCTTTAAAAAGACTAGAGGTTTCGTTTTCACAAAAACTTAACCAAGATTTTGTCAGATTAATTAATTAATTATCACTGGTTAGGAAGGTTACTGAGATCCCTATTGTTAAGGTGAATTGTTTGTCATTTTTATGTATACCATTTGTACATAGTTTTAAGGGATTATTTCTGTCCTCCCCTCCCCAGATCCTTAAGATTCTGGGAGGGGGCCGGTAGTGTTTTTTATCACAGGAACACCCTTGTGAAGGTCTGTTTGATGTGGGGAACAACACCTATGATCAGTTTTAATAATCGCGAGGAGTCCTCTGAGTACTGTCCAATCCACATGTTGTTCAGTGCTCGAGCATTGTGTCCACTGTATCTGATATCTTTATGTTTCATAAAGACTCATTATGAGACTCATTGTTTTTCAGCTCCAGTCGACACAAAATACTCTACAATGACAAACACAGCAACAGACTTTTTAGCATTTTATTAAATCTAAAGGACAGTTGTATCCTTTTCAGTTCAGATCCTTCACTTTCACTTAGTGCCTGGCTAAAACACTTCTGGCATTTTTAAGAGTGAATCCTATACTTGTATTTTCAGGTCTTCAGAATTACTTTATGCCGTTCTACATTAATCTTTCCCTTTATGACTAGTCTCCTGGTCCATATTGTGGAAAAACATCCCTACGGTGTGGTGTTGCTGACACTGCGATGACTGTTGGGATAATAATAATAATGAAGTGATGCTCACACAAGCTTTTTGAAACTGTGGCCATCTGACTAAAGGATTTCACCTTTACTGTTGGATACTTTTTAAGGGCTTTATAGGAAACTCCTCATGGGCTGTGATACAGGGAGGATTGGCTTCCTACCATCCATAAAAAAGAACAAATATTTCCACAAAAGGATTGCTGGGATGCCTATCACATTGACAGTGATTCCTGGTTGGTCACCTGATGAAGGCCCTTTGCCACAAAAAACTGTGTATAGCTGAGGAGCAATACCATGTTAGTAAACAATTCACTCAATATCATGGCTCAGTTTTTCACTCTGACATATATAATGAGTTGTGAAACTTTATATAGTTATATCCCATTAATTCAGTGAGGCACAGGTGGACTCAGATCAAGCATCCCGTGGATCATTGTTAGGAAAGTGTGCAAAACAGTCCAAAAACAATAATCTTTGCTTTGTCATTGTGGAGTTTTGGTTTGTAGGTTAATATGGAAAACATTAGGTATATACATTCCAAGGTCAATTTAGGATAAAATAAAATGTAAAACTTAAATTGAATGCAAATTGATTGAATTAGATGTGTGTGCATGTATCTGTGTGTGTGTGTCAGGTTTTATAACACATATTTTAAAAAGTAAGAACAAAAGTGATGATCTGCAAAATAACAAAGAGGAGCTTCAATCCCTTGTGCTATAGATTTTTGCTATCGATATTGCTGAAGATATGAGGTGGAGCTGGAGAAATGCTTTACTTGCACAGTACAAAGAGAGAGGTTCAGCTGATTCAAAACTCGTGTGTTTCTGCAGGGGCAGCAGCTAATGGACTTGGAACACAAGTTAACTGTGGCCAAGGAAGAACTGGAGAAGACTGCGCTGGATAAGGTGAATAACACAGGGGATGGGGTGTCGCCGATGAGCGATGATGAGCGAATGAATAAATTATGTGAAGTAATATTAGTCTGCATAAAGACCTTTTTTAAAGAGTGGATATCTAATGATGAAAGTAAGTGCAGAAGTTTAATAGCATGGTTGTCATAGCAATTTTCCCATCACAGTGTTGAGCTTCAACACATTGAACACATGCACCAGATTTATTTTGTGGGGGCATTATTATTATTATGGATGTGCTAAGTTGAATGAGTGAAAATTGCACGGGGAGAAAAGAGCTGATAAAGGTGATATTAACATCAGTTAAGCCAATAGTTTGCCTGTCTATTAGTATTGATGAAAAGCAAATTATTTTTAAATACACATTACTTCATATTGCTCTATTGACTTCTTAATCTTTACGTCTTGCCTAACGATGCCTTCTAGCTTTTCTGAAATCACTTTAAAGGATGTGAGCAAAATGGCTCTAATGCTTAAGTACAGTAAATTTCTCATGTGGATGCAAGGCAGTGTGAGTGATTCAGAAACCGTCTTGTTTGTGTGTAATCTTGTTTGGGGACAGGAGTCTCAGATGAAGGCGTTGAAGGACACAGTTCACATCTGCTTCTCAGCCGTCCTGCACAACCAGCCCAGCAGCAGTCACAGATTTCCCACCTCCCCCACCCACTTGTTCAGATACTCATCGCTCATCAACAGCTCTAGAGTCACCTTTCAACAGCCACATGCCAAGGTAATTCAGAATTCATTGCAGAGCTCCTTTATTTTATTTAATGTTTTTCAAAAAGGTGAACTAGATATTGTAAAATACAACTTAAGAAATAAGCATCTAAAAATTAAAACAATACTACAGCATTGAGTTGTCCAGCTAAGTTAATACCATCTATTAAAGTTGCAGATGGGCTATACTGATAATGGTTGCTGCCTAACTCCAACATTAACCTTGTGTTTTATTATTAGCCATAGTCACTAGCTGCTACTTTAATGATAACTTAACAGATGGCTAATAGTATTTAAATGGCTAACGTCAATGTGTGCACTGGTCAAGATTTATTATAACTGTTTAATACTTAAGTGATGCAAATCTTCTCAAAATTCTTCATTAACACCGTCAGTCGTTAAGATCCTTTGCCAGATTTGTTGTGCTACTCTTCATTTGTTCAGCTGATAGTGAGGGGAGGGGCGGTGTGCAGGCACCTGCAGTGTGTCATGTAGAAGAGGTGAAGATTGCACCGTTGCTGTCATACTGTTACAAATTAGTATCCTACCCATTAACAATTTTTAATATCGATTGTGTGTGAGTATCAAATTTCTTGAAAATCCTACTCTGTACATATGCTAGTTCCAAGTTCAACAAGTTCCTTCACATTTGCAGATCTTTCCCCCCACTATTATCCATTACCATTATTATCATTATTACCATTATTATCCATCCTCATTGCTGGAATGATTAATAGTGCCAACTTTCAGTATCCTACTTTTAATTTTTACTAGTGCATGTTTACTTTTCTTGATTTTAAACTCCCTCAAAAAACATTAAAACAGTCAAGAACACTATTACACTAAGAAACACTAATACCTAATTATGGGAAGTCATATATAAGAAATTTATATGAAAAATTACTGCATTTAATTGCTTGCATTTTACATCGTCTGGTGAGGAAACTTGCACTTACAAAAACATTATTATTATTCTTTTCATATTTTCTTTTTTTTTTTCCTGATTTTGATGCTAATCAACCCTGATCTTTGTCAGTTGTTCTTTTATGTTTTGATATGAATTCAGTCCTGACAGAAGTTATAAAATCAAACTGCTAGATCAACTATCTGTGCTACTCTGAGACTTTCAAAACAGATTTTAGTACAACATGGTCTTGAAAGTATGTTTTAAGCTTCCACTTTTGCTATTATAATTCAACCAGAATCACAGTCTTCTAATGAGGTAATGGTGCTAGTAGTTTTTACACCTATTATCAAAAGAAATCAGAGCAACAACATTTGTAACATGGAGCCATGTTCTAATCATGGCTGATTGCATTGTTGGAACGATTTTGTCCCAAGGCAGCTTCATTCACAGTAGTCTTGAATGAATAATTCAGGCTGAATACAAAATGTAATTCTACGGCCCTTTCATGTTACCAGAAGCATGACCAATGGGCCTTTTTCACAGCTGACATTTTGACTTGCCATATCAGGAAAGGCGCAGGTGTAATTAATACCATTAACAATGGCTGTGCTCCATTTAAGTACATCACCAGACTGTGTCAGAGAGACAGTATGCAAAATAATAGTGCCCTGCAACATGCCAAGTAAAGGAAAGTGCAATTGTTGTTTGGGTTTGGGGTTTTTTCAGTCTTATTAGTTACATCAGTTGTTGCATGGGTTTCCTGTAGATATACACTGGGGGATATAATTATTTGATCCCCTGCAGAATTTGTAAGTTTGCTCACTTTCGAGGAATTGAACAGTCCCTATTCTTATGGTAGTTTTGTTTTAATAAAGAGAGAGAGATTATCAATCAGAAATCCAAGAAATAAAAACACTTCCCATAAAAGTTGCAAATTACAAATTTGCACTTCAGTGAGTAAAATAAGTATTTGATCCCCCACAACTCAGTCAGAATTCTGTCTCCCACAGATTGGCTATGTGCCCATCTGGCCTGCACAAGGCTAGAATGGGCTACCAGACCATCAGCAGAAGCTTGATAATAAGAGGACAACTGCTGGTGTGATTATTTAGAAATGGAATAAATTTAAAATGCCCTTTGTCTGAACGTCTCTGCAAGATCTTGCCTCATGGGGTGAAGATGATCGTGAGGAAGGTAGTGGGTCAGCTCAAAACTACATGCGAGGAGCTTGTTAACGATCTGAAGGCAGATAGTCCCTCACTACGCCATGATGGATTGAAATCTTGCAGTGCCAGCAAGGTCCCCTGTTCAAGAAGGCAAGTCTGAAGTTTGCCAGTGAACATCTAAATGATTCAGAGAAGGCTTGGGAGAAAGTGCTGTGGTCAAATGAAACCACAGTCAAGCTCTTTTGTATCCCACTGTGTTTGGAGGAGCAAAAAAAGACGCACATTTAGGTTATGGAGTGGCCTAGCCAGTCACCAGACTGCCATCTTATAGAAAAACAGGGGATCAAATCAGTATTTTCCCCACTGTGATATGTTGATTTACAGTACAGTCCATGTAGTGTATCTGTATGTAATGAAAATGGCTTAGACTTTGTCTTACAGTATGCAATCAGTTTGATTGTCAGTCCGAACACAAATATTACCATTTCTTCAGAAAAGTAGGATAAAAATGAGATAAGTTTGCTTTGCAGAGCCAAAAGTAAAGTGGAAAGAAAGTTGGATTTGGGATATGCTTCTGTAATGGTGCAGTATAATTTTCCCTCTGACTTTCCAGATAAGATAAAGCCGGCTGCAGTTTTTTGCCTCTTCCCTTTGTGTAAACACTTTCAAATTGAAATTCATTTCACACAGAAACTTAGTGACATCATGGAATATAACTCTGTGCCAAAATATTCACCTCACCGCACATCAGAGCATGCATAATGCACTGTCTGCAATATGAATTTAAGAGTTAGGCGATTATTACCTTCTTTTCAAGTGGCTATTTGTCAATCTGATGGCCCGAGTATCACTCTCTAGAGAGAAATAGCACAGGAAATAATTACTACCAAATATAACAGTTGGGCAAACACACTTCCAGAGGTTGTTCAGAATAATAACATGTCTAAATCAAGCGGCAGTCTAAATAGTTATGTCAGTCTTTGTATTCTGTTCTATAGATTTTGAACACTACTATTTTAGGGTTTTTTGGATGTTGGACTTGTTCTATATGAAAATTATTAACTCAATGTGACACAGTCTTTGTTTGGAGCCTCTTAAAGTCAGGGTCACAGCAGACTCAACTAAGGGCTCAGGATTTAATCCTTTTTAGGAGTAAAACAAGGTGACTTCCAAGAGGATTCATTCTACAAGTAGGATTATGCTTTTTGTGAGGATATTGTGTCTTGTTTTCGTACTGAACCACATTTAAAGACTAATGACAAGTGTCAAATTGCAGTTATATTTTGTTCTTTAAACATTCCTACAAGTATTTTTGTGGCTCTGTGCACAAGAAAAAACCCCCAAAAGATATATAACTCGCATACAGCTGAATATACAGATCGGTTTTATTTCTTGAAAATATACTTTTTTATTACCCATGGCTGTTTTACCCCCTATCAAGCAGCCATGTTAACTTCAATCAGAGATTGTGCTAGTTCTGATTTCTGAAAAGCAGTCGCTGCAGTCACTTTGAAATCATCAAGTCGGCCACAGCGCTGCTGTGTCTTATCTGCCATGATACTGGTGAGCAATTCTGGCTTTAAGAGGCTTTTCTCTCCTCAAAGCAGTCACAATTTACTCTGTGTCTCTATCGTGGGTGCCTAAGAGATTTGACATGCCACTTAGAGGATTTTTTTTTAATCATGCTTCAGTAATACCATCCACGCCAGTGCCATTGCAGTACCTTTGCTGTGGCATCATATAAAACAAGATTCTATAATTGACACTTCCTGTTTACACCCTCCTTGGTCAAAATAAAAGGATCTCATCTGACTATGCATTCGCCCATATCTGCCTTTCAAACATACAGCCCAGTACATTCAAGTACAGGAGCAAAATCAGCATCATACAAAAAAAAAGACAAGTACAGGAATTTCAAGAAAGGTGTGGGTTGATTTTTTTTATGCTAATGAAGTTTTTACTTCCCCCTTCATTAGCATAGAAATAGCAGCACTTCACTTGTGAGCAGTTGCTGGCTTCATTATCTCCTGTTGCTGTTGTACACTTGACGGGCTGTCTGATAAATCTCAGCGTGCCCTCACAGTGAAAATTACTGGGGTGCTCCATCTGTCCACTCCGCCTGTATATGTAGAGGTGGGTCAGATCCCATTTAATTCAATGCCAAATTTAACTCATATTACGCAATAAGAAAAAAAACACATACAGTAGCACTTACAGGGCATAAAAGAGACAAATGTTCCACAGCTGAGGAGACAAATGTCGAGAACTTAGCTCTAAGAATAATTTAGCATTCCTCATTGTTGTATCTAACAGCATGAAATCACTTGGTTAGTGTAATTGTTATTTATTTTACCCTAGGTTCTTTTGTAATTTTGAGGCATGTATAAGATTGTCTTATTGTAGCTTAGAAGTGCAATACATAAAATAACTTATTCTAGAAGGGATCCCTGCTGTTTTGCAGCTGTTTCAAGTTTTTCATTTCCTCAATTTACTCTTAATCTTTTAATCCATGTAAAGCAGAAACATGTGTCACTCCAAGAGACAATCTGTTATTAAACAACCAACCAAATTTGAATGCTTGGGCGATTGTGGCTCAAGAGTTGGGCGTTCACCTTGTAATCGAAAGGTTGCCGTTTTGAGCCCTGGCTTGGACAGTCTTGGTCGTTGTGTCCTTGGGCAAGACACTTCACCCGTTGCCTACTGGTGGTGGTCAGAGGGCCCGGTGGCGCCAGTGTCCGACTCGAACAAAACTTTGTAAAACTTCCTGGGGATGGTCACATTTACATGCTGGTGCTCATTACCAATGAGGTTCTTTGCAATATCAATCCAGCTCTGCTCTAAATAAGAAGAATATATTAAAAAATAAAAACATTAAAAAGACCTGCTACACTATCAAGGTATAGGCATTAGTTGCTATAGGCATATCCTAGAGGAATCCAAGTGCTAATGCGCTTGAGTATTTAAACAGGTTTCTGTTATGGGACGGGTCATTCTAGGGACGCCTGGCGATTGTGTGATTCTGACCCACTCAGAAAGAAAACAAGTCTAATGAAAAGCAACTTAATTGTGTCAGGGCCAACTCATTAGTATGCTAAGTTTAAAAACAGTTCCTTACAGCAGAGTACACTGACAGCATAATGGTGTACTGTTGATTAATTTAGGAATGTCTACAAAATAGATCTGTCCTAAATACCTTAAATGGTGTATGTTTATTCCGTTAATTAAAGAAATGTGAATAGTTCTGAAAAATACACTATAGAGTATGCTGAATGCTATGGATGACCAAGGACGGTATAACTTTGCATTATGTGAAAAATTACAAAAAATAGCACCAAAGAGATCACATATAATCACATATCACAAATAAAGAGATCACATATATTCAAACGCTTGAATTTCATCAGCACATTTATACTAAAATCTGCTTTGTGTTGCTTAAGTGCAGGGATGTTTGTTCAAGCACTCTGTGACACCACTTTGAGTGTCACGCTCGTAGTTTGAGTTACCGTAATGGGCCTTAAGCTCTGTTAGACACCACAGATAAGACTCTCTCAGACCCTGCCTGACACACACACACACACACACACACACACACACACACACACACACACACACACACACACACAGCTCTTCGTGCTGGTGAAAGATTCATTAGTGTGAGGATGCAAAGATCAGCAGGATTGAAGTGGATGTTGCTTCATATTTAACAGTCTTGGGGAGAGAGCCAAGTCTTGTGGTCTGATAGTATGCAATTTTCATCAAAGTAATGGGAGATGATGTCTTAGATGCTCAGAGTACTGGGCTGGAGGAAAATCAGGCATTTCATTGCCCTGCTCTAAGCGCTTACTATTTACTTTTATGATTGTTTCCTTGTCTATAAAAATTATACAGGATATCCATCTCTCCCAGGCAAAGACTAGACAGTAGCGAGCTGACAATCCAAAAACTGCGATAGAATCAAATTTGTGTTCTACAAAAGGAAAAAAAAGACCCAAACAATGTTGCCAAAAACCCACTTAGGTAAGTTAATCTCAATAATAGTTGCAAATAATCACAACTCAGCATATTTGTTTGTGTTCTTTAACAGTCACTGTTCAGCTTTCTTTTCACCTTTTGCTTAATTTCACTCCATGTTTGGTTAGGCAGGCTCACAGTGAGCACCACTGAAACCTTTATCACAACAAGCTTTATTAATAATTGAATAAATATATTTCTATGTATATCCAGATGCCTTCAGAATGATATAACTCATGTATGTCCGTGGCGTTATAACAGAATACGCTACAAAATTAATCAATTCAAATTGGTAATAAGAAATAATTTGTTAATTAGTATCTATTTGTTGTAGAACTGTTTGCTAGCATCAAATTAACATGCTATGAAAGTTTAACAACTTATCAAATAATATGATATGTAGTATTGTAATATTATAAATGGTGGTTATTATGAAGTGTTACTTGGAAAACTGCTGCTTTTAAGCACTAAGGCTCTGCTGAAAAGTCAGGGGCCTTATGGAGAGACAAACAGATGGTAAGAATGGAAAGTGTGGCTGGTTCTGACAGATGCTGTCAAAAGTTGGGGAATTGTGTATGAAATGTTCACCCAAATGTGGTCACTTCCACAAGTAATGTCAGTTCTCCTGAACCTGCCTAAAAAGATGTTGCTTCAGCTGACACAATAAGAATGGCGTTTGACATTGACAGGTTAAGATTGCTTATGTTCATCTTGCAACTGTCTTGCTTTACGCTCTCAAGAGACCACGTTTGACCCAGTTAAAGTGTACTTGTCTTGTGCAGAAGACTAGCTGCAGAAGACAGTCAGACTTTGGGAGAAAGATCTGGTATAACAAGCCTAATTAATATTTCAACCCTTGGTCCTTACCAGACAAAATGGCATGATGAGTGAAAAGATGGTGTCTGTATCTACACGAGTGTAGATCCTAAGCTTTTATTCAAGGGGTGAAAGAAATTATTATGAAGTGATAAACTGGAATCATTGTTAAACACTGCCTGAAGTCTGGATCTCCTGAACATGACCAAAGAATGGATTTCCTCATTTGTGATGCTTTGCCCTGCCTTTAGTGCAGCCGTCTTCAGTTGCTGTTTGTTTTTTTCTCCACCAAATAAAATCAATGCAGCTGCTTCTGTGATCTATGGTCACTGGAATCCATGCAATTCATCCATGGTCATATCCTCATATAAGGATCCCCAATGCCACATTACCTTCAATTCCAGAACTTTTATCTCCATAATTATTGAAGAAATAATGGAATCCTCTGCAACTGTCCATGAAGCTTTTGAGTGTTATATTTTGTCCCATGAAAAGTGGGGATGTACAGGGATGTATAGGGAGTACAGCCATTTGTGCTGTACTCTCAAATTACAGCTAAGAATCTACACTTGTAAGCTTATTTTTTGGCTTCTAAACACATTGACAGTGTGATGCAAGATTGTGTTTTAACAAATTAGCTATCTGTTTATTTACTCCTTTAACCACAACCACTTCTTATAATTTTTTTCTAAGTGCCTCTTACTTAAAGCAAGTATGTAAAATTTTTAAATGTTCACCAGATCAGTCATATTATCCAAAAACAGGCTATAAATCACATTTGAAATGACATCAGGAGTTTAGTGAGATAATGAGGAACATTAATATTTTTATAGTCTAGGTTTTTGCTTTTTCCTGAGAAGTCATTTCCCATAAGACCATACCATTATTTGTCAGTATTTGAATGAATTCCTCTGTTCAATAGCAAAATGATGACTGTCATGTAACTCTCCAGAAACCCGTATCAATTTCTATTTACTTTTATTTTACTTTTTTGCTTGTTTTTGTGTGTTTTTGCCTTTTGGACTCAAGCACTACTGATTTTAAAGTGCATCAACCTTGCAAAAGTCATGTTTTCTATGCGGACATCGTTTCAGGTGGTAGCGATATGAATTGCTCTACTACCTCCAGAGAAAACCTTTTCATCTCTGACTGTCCGTCTTGTTTTCCTTCCTCTATCTCAGAATTGCTTTGGCTCTGTTTGCAGTGGGTCACTTCACTGAAACATCATTGTTGATCATGTGCAGGTCTCATAGTATTAAATCCCAAATCTACCTTCTGAACTGCAACTACTTCTCACTCTGAGGTGGTCTGTGTATTCCTATACAGACATCAGTGGTATTCTTGTTTGAAGGTCCAACATCTGAGACTTCAGAAAGATTGGTAAAAGCTGTGTATTTATTTATTTATTTATTTAGTGTCATAACATATTCTGATCCTAACAATACTATGCAAGTATGATGGTATCCAGTTACTGTACATATGAACACTTAAAAGCTTAAATTACACAGTGCCTCAGATTTATTATCTATTTTAATCTAAATAGAACCCTAACTTACAAAATGAACAACTATGCAATATTAAATATGACCTACGTTTTGGAAAACTGAGAAACTTTTGTTTGTTTTGTCTTGTAATAAATTAAATTGAACATAACTACACAAATAAAATATATGTTTAAATATGAAATAAACATATATGTATTAGAACTACTAGGTTTTGAAGAATTTCAAGAACCTATTTGCTCATGTGTTTTTAACCCCAAGTTTATATTTCTGTTTTGCTCTGCAGGATATCTCCAAAGTTCAGAGAATTGTCACTGCCAGTAAATCACCCATGAACGTCAGTGTCATGAGGAGAGAGAATGGTGGAGCCAAAGAGTGCCAGATGGAAAAGGTGAGCCTTTAGAGTAATTAAAATACAGTGGCCTCTCTAATCTGACTTTCAATTGTTCACTAAATTCATAATCAAGTCCCTCATCAAAAGTCAAAGAACTCGCTTTTGCTCCAATTGTCCTTAGTGGATTCATGAATTACAAAATTTTATAGAAGGTCTGCAACAAGTTTCAACTAAATGATGCATCTTTAGTTAGGAGTTTTGGTGTAGCTCAGCAGTAATTTGGTTTAATGAAATTAGACATTACTAAAGGAACACCATGTGCTGCATGAAGACTAATAACACAGTTTTACATTGCTTTGGAGATTGAAGGTGACCTATTATGTTTTTCTTTGTTATGGGTCCTACATGCTTAACTCACTTGACTCTTTATAGCTCCATCCCTTCAGTCTAGATTACTTTTTTTATCCAGTCCAAATGAGATCCCAATATCCTCGTAGATCTTAGTGACATGGATCAGTGAGTCGATCCATGTCACAGGGATGACTCACTGCTGATGTCATCCCTGTACAGGATGTAGCTGATGACTGATGATCACTCCACTTCTACTTTTAGCAATATGCTGGGTTAGGGGATTGAAGCCAATGCAGAACAGTAGTGTTAACAGTGCATCACTTTGGTATATTCCACTCTTGATTATGACTTCTGTGATTGCCAGTGGTCTTCCACAGCCCCGCTGAGTTCCTGTTGAACATCAGTAGTGTACTACTAGTGTTGCATTGTGCCAAGCAATATCGATGTGTGGCGTATTGAGTCATAGGCTTTCTAAGCTATGCTCATTTGTTGACTCAAATGACTTCTCGGTTTGGTTCCTGTGATGGTTTAGAAGAGCTTTCATGTTGTGGAGAATCAGGTAATTGTAAGTTAGATGGCCCTTGTACCTTTGTGGGGATCCTTCATGATCAATGCTGTTTTGCCCTGTACTAACCAGCCCAGATGGGTACATGCTGTTATCAGCCCACTTATTGCCTTTATCCCTCAGTCACGGAGGTTTAGCTATGAGCACAGACGTCTGATCCACCTTCAGTTCAAACCTTCAATTTATAACAGGGAGTTTGTTTTGAGAAAGTTTGGTTCAATGAGTGCAAGGGAGCTAAAACAACTTGTTTCAGGCAGTGGATGAACTGAGCTAGTGCGGCAAGGCCCAGTAAAAAATCAATAAGGATTATTTTTATCTGTGAATCGTGCAAATCTTCTTAAATAGAGTCCCATATAAATGTGCATTTGTAAATGAGCATAAGAAGTCCATTTTAATGAGTTGAATAAACTGGCAGTATTGATTCGGTGCTTTTCTTTTTGTTTGTCATTTTAAACTGGATATTCATACTGAACTATGGGTCAATCAAAATGCAATTCTGAAATCATGATTTGGGCTGTAAGACATGTCTGTACATCGGTTTAAGTAAATTTAAGCAAAATAATGAATACAAAAATACCTTAAAGATTAATTGAGAAAGAAAATGTTTTTTGTTACATCCTTGAAACTCACTAACAAGGTAGTGCGTTCATTTGACCTGTTATTACATGGGAAAGTACTGTAGTTGCAGTGATCACAAAATTTGCACATTCACACTTCAAAGAGCTCTTCACTCAGAGCCTCATTGACACTTTGACAGCAGTTATTGAGGAAGGAGAGCGTGGAGCAGTCACTGACCTCTCCTGTTCAGATTTTTTTCATGAAGGACTTTGGTACCTCAGACAAGAGACTTGCTTCTCCAAGGTCCAGGCAACTGTGAGCAGTCAGCTATGAGGGAGGCTCCAAAAGACTGCTTCCAACAATGTCAAAATCAAGAGGCTCCGAAGAAGCAGAGGAAGTAAACAGAGCCTGTAAGGATTTTTGACAAGTGGCTATCAAGAACTATTACAGGCATAAGTTGATAGACTACAGGAGACAGGGGAATAGTGAGGAGTGCTGCCCTGGAAGGAAATTGCCCTGTGTAGAAACTGTGTCAAAGAGATTGTTCCTTAATGAAATTGTGCCAAAAACAATGTTCACTGGCGTCTCATAATTGATTATATAATTTTGGCAGGGGCGTGAAAAGGGAGAAACATGCTGATACAGATAAGAGGAGACATATTTGAAACAGAGACTCGTGTTTGCCCATGATCATTGCTGCTTTTCCCCCTTGTCCTTTTCTCTCTGTGGGCGGGGAGGAAATGAAGAAAGACAATTTGTATGAGCATGTGTAGCTTGCAGTGTGTCCCTGGTTTGAAAATGAAATGTGATGGCCTTGCTATACTTTAACAAATTACCTATGTTTTATAGACAGGATTGACATTCAGCTAATACAAAAAGTACTGCTGTCAGCGCTAATCTGGTTAAAATGACGTTAACTCCATAACTGCATTGATGCGGCAAATCTCCGTTAGCGAGTTAGCGTGGATCGTGCATGAGTGGGGCTGCAGGGCGTCATCGTGTTTACGAGCTAATCACGCTAACACGTTGACACCATGCACCCCCATGCACGGGGAGCGCATTAATGCAGTTATGGCGTTAACGTCATTTTAACAAAATTAATGCTGGCAGCACTAACAAAAACATCACAGTTGGTGTAAATAATTACTATTTTAGTACTTATTATAGATTACAACAATCATTCATTTTCAACAATCAGCAGCTTCAAATAACTGCTTTCTCTTTTTTAACAACCAAGCTCTTTATATTTTGAATAATAAAATGTTAATTGACTAATAAATAAATACTTTTAAACATTTAAAGTGCACATATAAGGCTACGTTTCTTTCATAATGAGAATAAGATAAGCAGCTTACTCTGCTTACTCTGTGGTTGTTGAAGTCAGTGATTCCTTGAAGCTTATTTGTAAAAATAAGAGGTTTATGAATTTGACTGATGTGAGTTTATTTATCTGTTTTCACTGAATACATAAAGCTGGGACACTGTACACTGCTACATCAGCTTATCACCCTATGTAATACAATATATCTGTCTGGCAAAGAGGTATATTTTTTTCATCATCATTTTAGTTACTGTAATGAAAAAATAAAGTTAGGCTGACTGGGTAAATAAAGTATTCCTCATCTCATCATCATCTCATATTGTCCTCATATTGTTCTCCTAGACTGGGAGTGACTGCTTCCAGAATCAGACGGAGGAATCAGCTCCAGAAAGCAGAAAGCTACCAGAGCAACAGCAGGTGTGTGTCACGGGATTTATATGAAAATATGAATTTATATGCTGACATATTTTTCATTAGTACAGTGAAGTTTTATGTTAGTTTATTTTATTGGTTTATCCATTTAAAAGTTAATTCATTCAATTTCAGTCCTAATGCCATTTTCTTTATATCGAAGGTATACGTGTTTAAAATTTGGTCAAAGACCAGTCAAGTCTTTTGCAAAATAACAAAATTCTTAATATGTTGCCCTTGTGCACCATCACAGTGGTGTAGAGCAGCGGTCCCCAACCTTTTTGCGCCACAGACCGGTTTATGCCCGACAATATTTTCACGGACCGGCCTTTAAGGTGTCGCGGATAAATACAACAAAATAAAACTAGTACTGGTACCAAAAAAAGAAGATTTATTCATAACACACGTGAAAAGACCCAGGAAAACCAAGTTAACGATAAAAACGATAACAAAATAACGCTTTCACACCTCAGCCTCAACTCTCGCGGCCCGGTACCAAACGAGTCACAGACCGGTACCGGTCCGAGGCCTGGGGGTTGGGGACCGCTGGTGTAGAGAGCCCTATCACCCTCACCCTAAAAGCCAAGATGTGTTTGAAGTGCAAAAATTCAGCTTTAACAAAAGTACTGTATTAACTACAGTCATCTTTTGTTATCTAGAGTCTACCATTTTCACAGGATATTGTTCAATTATGTCCAAATATTAATGAATCTGACTGTATACAATGCACTTTCATTTCACAATGCCTCTGTCAGTGCGCCCCAGGGTGGCTGTGGCTACAATGTGGCTTGCCATCACCAATGAATGGGTGGATGACTGGATTTGTAAAGCGCTTTGGGGTCCTTAGGGACTAGTAAAGCGCTATATAAATACAGGCCATTTACCATTTTACTAGCAAGTGAAATACATATATTATATAATTACATAGTTTATGACAAGATAGTGTAGCAGCTTTTACCCTGTCATAGCTTTTTGACAATAATTTTTGGATTATCCTGCAGTGTAATCAAACAGATGGCATGACAAGCCATTTTCAAACGACAATATGGAAAGAAAGGCAACACAGATGTAGCTGACACATTGTGACGACATCCTTCCTGACAACTACTAACTAAACAAACTGATTTAGCTCTGTATATAATGAAGTACATCCCAAAGACATCAAATGAAACACAGTTGATGATTCATCAAGACACAAGCGAGACACACAACATCTACATCACATTCCTAAAAAAATGGAGAAAAAAAGCAACCAATCCATAAAAATCTATTATTCAGTGTGCCAATGTCACCTACAGTATGTGATATTCAATGTCCTGTCAAAGTCCATGCTTAACTGCCTCCCTCATCCTATTATTGAATTGAGTCACACCTGTTTGGTGGTGGCAGATGGTACAGCAAAACAATGCATCTCATTTCAATGCAGTGCAATACTGTGTAACTGAGCAACTGTCTTGCATTCCAAGTGGCAGCAATCCATTTTTAGACACGCAGAGTATTTGCAAACAAATACAAGAATATTGTAAAGGAGACAAATGGGCTTATTTGACTTCTCAGGTTTATTTTGTGCCAGAGAGATATTCTGTGAAAGTTTAACAATTGTTTTCTTGTGTAGCAACGCTTTGGACTATGTCCCTGATTTATAGCATTATGAGATGTAATGCTATTTCGATTTCGATTTAATGTAGTGAACTTAATCTAGGATGTTACTTGTTAGGGGAGTCAGAAGAATTCCCCAAGGCAAAAAAATTTAACTGCAAAAAGAAATCCTTGTTAGGGCACAAAGTACATTTTTAATCCTAGTATTGTTTTCTTTGAAAAAGAAGAAATGCAGGAAAACAGTAGCAAGGTTTTCAGCCATCACCATCAGGTCGGTCTAATGACATTGTAAGACGTAATGGTTATATAGTTATGATCCTTCTTAGATCACTAATTGCGAAATTTTCATATTGTGTTGCAGTACCAAATGTACAATAGACTTTTTTCCTTCTGTCAGTTTTTATCCCTCTTGCACAGCACTTGCCATACATGGTGTAGTAAACAGTTTGATTAGTAGTAATTTGCATTCCAGTCTCAGTGGATCAATCTGCATTTAGGTGCTCTGTATTTCTGTCACTTCTCCACCTTCATTACGCGTTTTCATGTTCGATTTGTGGCAACTGAGAACCCAAGTGTCATTTCTCCTTATGTTCAGATGTTTTTGAAAGAAAAAGTATTTACAGTCTTGTACCTGTTGTGTTTGGTACAACGCCGCAGTAGTTATGAAAAAGAAAAACAAGGACACACTTTAGGTGAGCTATATTGCACAACCCTTATCTATAGGGCGATAGTGGCTCAAAGTGTTGGCAGTTCGTCTTGTAACCGGAAGGTTGCTGGTTCAAGCCCCGGCTTGAACAGTCTCTGTCTCTGGCAAGACACTCCGCCTACTGGTGATGGCCAGAGGGGCCGATGGTACGATATGGCAGCTGTGGCTACAACTGTCTGCCCCAGGGCAGCTGTGGCTACAACTGTAGCTGCCTCCACCAGTGTGTGAGAGTGAATAAATTGTGTATAAATGCAATCCATTATTATTATTGTTGACTTAGCCTCCTCTGGCAGACTGATGTGGCCTCGTCATGCACAGAGTGACAGAGCAATATTAAGAAAAATTGCAAAAGTGTGCCCTTTAAACTTAATGCAATGTATCTAAATTTCAGATTATGTTTAAACACATCAATAACTTCATTGAAAAAAAAAAGTTGGTTCATTTTCTTTTTCTTTTCTGTGTTCCTATAGGTCAAACATATAACTTCATACCATTTTAGCACATGTTGACATTCTTAAGCAACAGAGCATATTTCAGAAGTACCACAGCATGAGTAATGTTTGTGTCTGACATTCCTGAATTCATTAAAAATGTGCAAGTGGAAGCACGCCAGCTGGAATATAAAAATCACAAAGGGTGATAAGGAAATGATAAAAATCAAGTAAGGCATCTATGCAGTCATTCAAATAAACAGCTACTGTTTATGATTCAAAGTGAGGAAAACATTAGCAAAAATATGTTTTAGGCTTCCAAAGAATTCCTTCTGCTTCCACCTAGTTTGCTAATAATGATGTTATTCAATCAGTGGTATGTGTTTAGTGGTGTGTTTTAAAGTAAAGTATATAGCTACTGATTTTTCTGTTGGATGTATCTGTAGGCAAAAATAAATAAATAAATAAAAATCTCACAATCTCCATGCAATGTAAATATATTGTCGTATGGTTGTTTATTATTAAGTACAGAGTCAGGATGAATCAGAATAAATTCAAAAAGGTGGAAACATTATTTCAGATTTTTTTTCTGTCCGTCAGCCATATTGTTGGCTACATTGGCTTTAAAGCAAAACTATGAATGTCTGCTTGTAGGGTGACATTCATAGTTCTGCTACTGACAAAGCTCTTGAAAGTTTTTCCAAAAATTGACCGTCAACTAAAACTACTGGATGTTCTTAAGAGAGTTCTTGGTGGTGAAAAATAAGATACACACAGTAAAAAATCACAATCTTGACATCAAAGTGGGTGGAAAGAAATCACAAGAGTGCATTAAGTGAGGAATCATGCCTGCAGATGAACAGATGAAAGGAAGCATGATTGATTCTCATCCACTGGATCAGATATATGATTCTTTCAAAAGTGCTTTGAATCAAAGTTTGAAAAAAAAACTAAAATATTTATCTATCTGTCTATGAATACAATATGATAATTACGAAGAACCATTTTTATGCATGCTGTAAGTCTGTCAAAGCACCTCCAAAATGATTGGTTTGATGGCCAATTCTTGCATGCAGACAACCTGTTTCCACAAAAGCTCAGAGATCCATGCTAGCCACTGTACTATAGACAAAATGCCAGCTTACAGGCTCTTCTTGAAATGGTTTTTGCATAGTTCAGAGTTGGGCATTGGGTCATTGTCTTGTTGTAGCGGGAAATTGGTTGCAATCAAGTGGTGCTGACAGGGTATGACATGACATTGCAAAATGGAGTGGTAGCTTTTCTTGTTCAAGATCCCATTATCCCATCTCTTTGCTGGTAATCAATCTTGCAATTTATCACCAGCAGAGCAACACATTTCTCCACCATTCTTGACAGATGTCAAGCACACCTCCAGCATTTTTTCATTTCCTACTCTCAATCTTCTATTTGACCCAAACACCTTAAGCTTAGTCCATAACACTTTACCTCCTGCCCACTCTCTATGTTTTCCCCATCCTAATCTTCTCCTTTTATTAGCCATTCTCAGATATGGCATTTTCTATCCTAAGAGACTGAACATGACTGGCTGAGGACGTGTGTTTGATTTTACAGCTAGAAGTCATCTGACAAAATTAATACACATAAGTAAAAATAATATCACAATGAGAAAATTAGAGATAAGAGAATGTTTTTCTTCTTTTTTTTCCACACAATACACAGATTTAGACTAAATAACAGCATGGAAATATAATACAGTTCTGTTTAGTGTTTACTGCCGCTAAACAGAATAGAACAGAACAATGCCTGTGGATGGAGAGCAAGAACAAAGCAGTATGCCCAGTTGTTTATCAAAAAAAGTTGCTAGATTTAACACTTAAAAAAAGTTGTCAAAGGATTCCTCAAGTCTAGGAACAAAGTCACTGAGTTGTCAAAAACTATGTGAACTGAAGCATGCTAATCACTCCTGTGAGTCAGGGGAACGTAAGATACCAAGCTGAGGTGCTTTTCATGTCCACATAAAAAAAAAACCCCAAAAAAACCCTATTTATCCCAAATTTAAAAACACTATGGAAACAAATACTTTGATATTGATATTCGTGTCTAAAATTGGCCAAACCCACTTTAAACAAGCATTAAATTATATGGTGATGGAACAAAAGAGTTTATTCTGATATTAGCATAGAACCCGAGCGTATATCATGGGTTCAGTTGAGTTGTGATTTGTATAACTGTGTCACTGTTACACAGTAAGTTGTACAATTGATTAATTCTTAATGTACTCTGCAGAGTTTTGACCTTCAGTTTTTCAGTGTAGCTGTGTTTCATGTGAGTAGCCTCTCTGTTTTGCAAGTAAAGACGATAAAGCCCGAGTACAAGTAAGCAGGCTTTGTGATCCAAATCTCGGAGACGATTCAGCCCTAATCTGCATATCAACAGTGGGAGCTGTTAATCAATCAATCAAACAATCCAGGATAAAAAGATACCAAAAAACCTACAAAAATTTGGGATTTTTTAGTAAAGGTTCCCAGTACCTATATGCAGGTTTAAACTGCAGGATACACTTTGAAGTTCTTTTGTTCACAAAAAAAGCATAAATATATGCCTTTTTTGTGTGTGTGTGTGTGTGTGTGTGTGTGTGTGTGTGTGTGTGTGTGTGTGTTTGAATTTGCTGGTGCAACTTTACAAAGAAGCTACCCAAATGCACTTTTTAGTGACTATGTAGCTGTGGATGTGACAACCAGCAATTACACTATGGTGAATTATTATGTTTGGGGAGGACGGGCTGATGCAGGCCAGTAGCTATCAGTCTTTCAAAGGCAACTGATGCAACTGTGGTAGCATATAAATAGGACAGATGCTAGACAGCATAAGGACTAGGACAAGTAGAGAGAAGCACTTTGAATATAGGAGCATAGCAGCAGTCATCATATGAAAGACTTGCCGTGTTTTACTGTTTAAATTTTCTTTGTATTTCATATAGATTTAGGGGGTATTTTCTGCTAAGATTACAAACCACCATATGCCTACTATTGAACACCATTGTGTCAGTCTTGCCTCATTATTATTCTTTATCTTCTGAACCTAACAGGAAAAGAGCCAAGTGCAGAGTGGAAAATTCAACACAAAGCCCACACACGACAATGACGAGGCAGAGGGAGGCAGCAGCAAAAAGACAAAGCCCCATAAATACAACTGAGAGGACGGCATATCAACGGGAGCACAGATCTACTGCATTGCCTGAAGGATCTTTCTAAGAGCACATACTCGCACACTTCTACAAAACGCATGCACACACACACACAGAGACACACACTCACTTTTTCGACACACATGCACACATGCGCATATCAGCATCGTTAGCAAGAGCTGAGACACTGGAATTGTCAACAAATTTCAAACTGTCATCTAAAAAAACCTCCATAGAAAAATGGCATGCGTTTAGAAATTTTTTTCAAAGGTAGCAATGGCACTGGTAACTTGTTTCATGATCGTTCATTTGTTGTTTACTTATCTGAGTTTTGTTCCGAGTGAGGACACTGCTTTCTAAATGTGTGATCTTTCTAGAAAATCCCTTTGCACTGGTGAGGTCTGACACTGTATCCTGTGATAAGTATATCAATTGACAAATAAAAAAGTACTCCTACCACTACTATTACTACTACTACTACTACTACTACCCAACTTAGAATATTGTTTGTCACTCATTGTAGCAAGGTTAATTTACTCCTCCACATTTTGAAATATAGAGGCTCAAGTTGGCTGGCCAACTGTTCAACATTTAATATTTCAGCACTCTTTCTGCCTTTAACACTCCAGAGGCAAAGAGCCAAAGACTCACAATGGGTCGTCTCCCTGAGAATGTGCCATGCACTGAGTAGTAACTCCTAGCTACATGTATCTGTGTTATCTGACCTTTCTGTGTCCTTTCAATAAACTGTAATTTTCAGTAAATGTGTGAAGAATAAATGGTTATTTGTGGGAAAGAAATTAGTGAGTATGTTTGTGATTAACGGCAGAAAACATTTCGTATTGCAAAGAAAGTTCTGGTTTCACGCCCTGTGAATATGAACTGCTCGAGGTCGTGGGAGACATCGGTTGATATATTTAATTGGTTATCGAAACAGTGTATGTACCTTTTGGATTATAAACATCTAATAATAAATATGAACATATTTATATCAAAAAAGCGCACTTGAGGTTTTCTTCAAAGAAATCCTACAGCTTTATTACTCATAGCCAAAAAAGGGGTTTTTTTTAAAGTAACTTTCCCATGGACAGTTATGTCTCAAGCACAAATGTGGCTGGGTAAAAATGGATTTAAATTCAATAAAGCTGTGCTTATGTTAAGCCTTAGTGATTTCACTTTCAATATAAATCAGAAAATAGGGGAGGGGAAACAAGAAAATGAAAACAACTGAAAGTTCTCATGAGGTTCATGAAAACAGCCAGAGTTACACAAAGAAGCTTGTAAACAAAGAGGAATAGTAGAATTAAGACGTGCAATATATATTTTATAAAAGCCACCGCCAACATCTCACTGTCTCATCAGTCATGGTATGCAGTGTCATTTTACAGTATCGACTATGGTATATCGCTGTCAGCATTTCAAAAGCTTCCACATGTTAAGCATCACTCTCAAATGCTCATACTATATTGTTAACTATAAAAGCACATCTGTGGCTCCTTTAAGGGCTTTGGAAGCTCACAACTGTGTTAAGCAGCTTTATGGTCACAGCATCCCCTTCATGTGATACTTGGCTATCATCACCGAATACAACAGTGACCGTGCTGGAAAATGTTAGCCGACAGGTGGAGAATGCTATTTTAAGACGCACAATCCATCTTTTCTGTAAGTTTGACAGCTTTTCCCAGGTCGACTCTGTGTCTTGCTGAGAAGAGAAGAAAAGAAAAGGACCACTGCCAGGATTAGGAGACCAAGGGTGCATCCTGCTAATGGTGACATTACACCTCGGAGCCAACTGTTTCCAGAACATTGGAAAGAAGAACTATGGTAAAGTTTTCCTATCAGACAGACAAGCCTGAGGTTTGATCAAAGTGGCATTGGAGTGTCTCTGTCATATTCTTTTTACTGCCTCCTATTCACTGCTGATAATGATGTATTTTTCAAGGACAAAGAGTCAGATTTCATTCGTTGCTGACCTAGACAGGGAACCTATTCTTACATCCAGCCAAAGAGAACTGTTCAATGTGAATACAAAGTATTGACTGCTGTAAAGTTAATACAAATTTACTTTACTGGGTAGAGATGTTGTAAGAGATTATGAAATAAAGGTAATGGAATCCCACACAGTGTTAGCATTAAGCTTTGTCCTTGAGTTCGCTACATTCTTTCTAGTTAACAAAGCTTTATACAATTAAAAAAACACATCACTGTAAGACAAGACTGTTAAAATATAACTCTTTACAATCTTTGATTTTCTAGGCTATAGATGCCAACCTAGAAATTCTTTTTAAAAGCACCAGTGTTGGGGTTAACAAATGAAACTCTGAGACCATAATGCAGGTTGCAGGTCCAGCCTGTCTGTGGAACTTGTTTTTCCTCCGTTTGTTGAAAATGTGCAGATACCATTTGCCTGCTGGCTTTTGTTTACATGTCCCCAATCATTGGAACAAATGACGCTGCAGCAGGCCTATTGTTGTACCTGCAATAACAGTGGTCACTCCATATTTTGCTGTTTAAAAAAATACACCATTTTCAAAATAAGCTGCCAGCATATTTAAACTACATGGACTATTGATTTGGGTCTATGGGGACCCCTACAGTAATTCATTTGACCCAATATAAAACAGCTTAAATAAACACACAGTCAAGCAGCCCTGAGACATCATTTCTCCAGTGTGTCCAGGGTAATACTCATGGACTTCTTCCCAGTAGGTCTGAAACACCTCTCCAAGGAGGTGCTTGTGAGGCATCCTGGTGAGACACCTGGACCACCTCAAATGGATCCTTTTGATCTTGGAGGTATCCTTCCCAAAATACCAGTGTTCTCACCCTGTTTTTAAGGCTTAGTCTAGTCACCACTGAGAGGAAGCTTATTGCAGCTGCTTCTATCTGCAGTGTCATTCTTTCTGTCACTACTCAGAGCTTGTGACTATAAGTGACAGTAGGAACAAAGATCGACCTGTAAGACTGACAGGTTCACATTCACACTCAGCTGATGCTGTGTTAATCCATCTGTCAGTCTTCTATTCGACTCTTCACTCACTTGTGAACAATATTCCAGAATACTTGAACTCCTCCACTTGGGGTACGAGTTAATTCCCGATCTGGAGTGGGCACTTCGTTTTCTGAGACCCAGAGCCTCAGACTCAGAGGTGCTGACTCTCATCCCAACCATTTTACAGCTGGCTGCTAATTGATCCATTGCTGTAGGACAGGGAACCTAGAAATTCTGCCCATAAATATTATAAACAGACTCACTGACAAAGGGGAACATGGTGGAGATCAGCACACACTAGGAATGAATCTGACTTATTGCTGACAGTTCAAACTAAGTTCTCACTATACTGTGGTTCTACAAGGATTGTAAATAATGTGTAATGTTTCTTCTTTAAAAAATAGGACCTAACTATTGGGCAAACACTGAGTAAATAAATAGTTCCATATTCACCAGGTTTTTTTCAGGTCCTCTTGTTCCCATGTTCTCTTATAAGTTGCTTATAAAAGATGGGTGTAGCTGCTGTAATGTGAACCCTGTTTTCTCAACATTACCATTTTCTACACTATTATACTGTTTTTTGGGTGCGGAATATTTTGGCAACTGATTGGAGGATACATACTAGCATGGCAAGTACACTTTTTATTCTATATTTTTTGGATAGTGCATCCAAAGTCTGTATGGGTGCATTACACAAATGCCAATACACTTCTTCCATGTCAGCAAATAATCACAGATTATTGATCACTGGACCTAAGAGCTGGGAAACTTGGAAACTAGGAGCTATGAGAAACCCCCGAAACACAAAAAAAACAGGAGCACGAGAGTCCAGAACCAAACCAAAAACAGGCCAACACAAAACAAGACCATTCACGAGTCCACGGTAAAGTCCGGGGGTCGACCATGCACACAGCAACGGCGGCGACGGGCAAACAG